CTAATGAGTTAACAGATACCTCTGGGCAGTTTCGATGTGGATAAGAGTTGATTGAGCTTTTCAAGAACACATTTTAATTAATGGTTTAAATAATGATTTAACCATCTCTAACACTAAACAGAGGGCCAATACAGAATTTCTGTGTTAGAAGGGCTTATGGACAGCAATCAAGTTGAAAGAGTAGGCTATAAGTAATCTTGCAGTGGAATCTGTATGATATATAAGATAAAAAATATAAACTATCTAATGGGGAATTAGCAGATATTCCCTACTTCCACTAAGCCCGACTACAGAGAAACATCAGTATCATCTCTTTTGTTAGTTTCTATATAATGTCCAAAACTTTTATATTTCTACCATATTTAAACCATGTATTAAAAGTAATGGCATTATCTTTACACATATATTTCATACACTAACATGGAAGGTAAACCTTACTTTCAAAAAGTCTTTGTAAATAGGGAGGGGTGGAGGGGTTGAAGGGAGGGCAGGGGAATGGGGGAAAAAATAAGAACCAAGATATATCATGTAAAGGTACAAATTTCCTATGATGAATGTCATATTGTATACCTAAAATGTACCAATTAACTTAATAAAAAATTTCTTAAAATTTGTAATTCAATACAGATCTAACACATTGCAGAAAATGGATAGTGAAAAGTTCTCTCAGTATGATGTGCTGAGTCTCAAAATCAAAAGATGGATTCAAACCTCAACTTTGTTCTTTTTTGCCTATAAGGGAGATAATTTAGCATTGTTGTGAAGAATAATGTAATTATCCATTAAACTATCAGAGTCAGATATGCAACAGATTTCTTTTGGATAATTTACATGCCATATTTATTTCTGTGGTTTTATCAGTGGCCTTGGGAACATTAATATCAGTTAATTTAGAATCACTCCATTAAAGTATATTAAAGCTTCAAATTTTCAAATATATCAAGGTCTTTGGGTAAAAATATATGTAGCTTTAGTATTTTAATTTGGGGAATAGAGAACTGAGTTTTCTATTAACTTTTCTCTCATTTAATAACTCTTAAGAAAATAACTAAAAAATTGACTTGAGAAACTTAGCGTCCATATCAGTGAGTGAGACATCTTTGAACTTACTCAAGCTACTACAGAATTAAGCAGTAAAAATGAAACTGTCCACCATTCTGGAATACATTCTAGTTACTCGGTCCCCTTGGATCTCATTTTGTTCTTCTATAAAGTGAAAAGTTGGCCTCATTATTTCCAAGTAACTACACAGCAACTGTTACCAAAGCTGTCTTTTACATTAGTTTCTATATACTACTCTAGACTTAATGAGTTAGAATCTGAGGAGTGGTTTCCAAAGCTGTATTTTAATTTCCTCAGTTACTGATAATCATGTAGGTGTGTGACCTTCTGTCTGCTCTAGTCAATTACTAAAATCCTTTCTTCTGAACTTTTTCTCTTCTGTAAAACTGGCATTTGGAAGAATATATTCATTTCCAAGGCTTATGACCATTAATCAGTTTTAGTTTTAAATGTTTTTTTAATAAAGTGGATCAATGGGTGTGCTGATTAAGTGATCAAGCAAGATCAGACAATATAGTTTATAGTGTAGTAAAATGTATTTATAATAAATACAATACTTTAAAGCATTCTGGACAGAAAATTTATAGACCACATTTAATAATAAAATGTCTAATTGTTTAACAAAGTACTTTAAGAACTAAGTCTAATTTTCAAAACTAAAGAACCAAAGTATTAGATAAATCACTTTATGGCACAAGAGACCATAAACTTATGCAAACAGCAAGCAGATTTCTGTGCTAGAAAAAATGGAAAAAAAAATTGAACTAAGCTAAAAATTCAAGTATTGGGAATATAGAAATACCTAGTCAAATGAAGCCTAAGAGGGGTCTTTGAGCATCAGATTTTTTATAAAAATAAAAACATCCCAAACTAGTATATTTATTTTTTAGCAAAACTTTTTTCCTGTGATAACTGAAAATCCTCCTTATTCTTCAGATTTTTGGAAAATGTTAATTTCTTAAAGTACTGATATCATCCTTCAGATGCTGATTGTGTTGCATTTTATTGTAGTTTTTCCTCAATAAACCTGGGGCCGTAACAGCAAAGACACTGAAACGCGCTAAGATAAATATTGGTCATAGAGAGCCTTTATTCATGAATAAACTGAGAACTATTTATTGAACATCTACCTTTCCATCTCTAAAAAGAACGAGAAAGGCAAACCCCTGCTCTAGAAGGTTCCCCATTTATAATACAGTAGGGCAAGCACTAATTCTGATCACTACGAGCCTTCAATTCACCTCTCAAACTGTGCAGATACTGATTTCCCCTGTAAACACAAATATAATCTTTTATTATGGACATCATTTTTTGAATACTCATAATGGGTACTTTTTTCTTTGCATTCTATGTATTTTGTTTTCCATTTCAGTTTTTCTAACATACCCTCCACAGTTCTGTTCATCCCCTTGGCATTTTCTGTGACATTTTGTGACAGTTTTCCATTACTCTTTACTGTTGTCCTTGCCACTCATTCCTCTTTGCCACAGCCTGGTCATCTGAGCTTTCCCATCTTCCCTTTCCTGGCTTATCCACTTGGGTGTCTAATGTTAGCACCTCCTCAAAGTTAGGTTTTCAATAAATATAACTCATCAGCACTTCCGATCAGTATTTTTTTAGGCTTTGTAGTGACCTTCAGATCTTCACTCTAACAACATTCTTTCAGAATGCTATTCAGAAATAATACCTTCAAGAAGTTATCGTTTAAGGGTTTTTGTCATAGGAATGTCACATTAAGAAACTGATAGAGACACATAATTCTAAAGAAATACATAACTCAGCAAAGGTTGCTTCTACTGTATTGTCAATTCCCACCCTGACAAATATTGGATTTTGCAAGAATACTGTTAAAACTATTTGGCTCAGTGGAGCCGCGCCTGCCTGGCAAGCGCAAAGTCCTGAGTTCGATCCCTGGTACTGGGGAAAAAAAAAATTTGGTATGGGACATTAGTTTATGCTCATAATGGTTAGATCAAGAAATTAAAGTTTTGGTTTTTTGATATTGAATTAAAATTTATACATTAAGGTTGAAAACTTAAAATGTAAATGATAAAGATAGTTAAGTATTCAATGGCATGTCTATTATACTTATCACAAAATGTATATTTAAGAATCAAACTATATGTGAGTCTATAAGACGCTATCAAGCAAAATGCCATCTATGATCCACAATCAATCCTTCTACACTTTTAACTCAAAGACAATTATGTAACACTTAGGAAATTTTAATTTTCCAAATAAACTCAGAAAAAATTATCATTATCTTCCAGGTAAAAAATTCAGTTTTATAATCCATTTACCACAAATCAACTCCCCACATGTATGGTGAGGCAGCAGTCAACCACCGTATGACTTTCTGTGGTGTTAGTACTGTCCATTCATAACCACTTCCTCCTCACATGAAGAGTATGAACAAGAACAAGGGACAAAGAAGTCACCTTTCATTGTTTCACTGACTTTTGTTGTTTTCACTGTATGTGACATGCCTGATTTCACCTTTACAACCAAAATAAAAAGCAATTTTTATTCTGAAAGGTAACTGCATGCTCCCAGTAGCAGGCATTAGCAACTTCCAACACGATCTCTAGGGATAATTCGCAGTTCTGAACCATGCTTTAGAAAAACATTTCCTACACAAACAAACAAAACATAAAGTTAGGTATTTAAAAAATGACAAGTTATCTTAATATTCCAACAGTTATTGCATACCATAAACAAGATAGTGAAAAGTAAAGTAGGTACAAACGTTTAAGCACCATGAGAACCAATTCCATGCCTTTAATGTCTTGTTCCTATTCCTCCCTTGTCTTCAACACTCAACAAATGCTTACAAATTTTAAATAAGAACATCAGTCTTGGGCAGGGGATGTAGCTCAGTGGCACCATGCCTGCCTGGCAAGCACAAAGTCCTCAGTTCAATCCCCAGTATAAAAAAAAAAAAATTAGTCATGGAAATGCTAAAAAAATACAGTCAGCAAATAAGATGATTTAGCTTAATCATGAATATTTAATACACAATAAAAGACCTAAGTCAAGGGAAAAAAAATCTAAATTGTAACAAGTGACAAAAATTTAGATATGGTGATTTGGGTCAACTGTCTTTCAAGGTTTTCTTCATGCCCAATGATATATACAATTCAATTATGAAAGGCAATATAACATACAATATGTTAGAGTACGCAGTAATTCAAACTCATTAAATTATACAGCAAAAACTCTTTCTTGAATTAACTGTTTTTTAAAATGACTTTTCAACTATGTAGTATATGGCCCATGATGATGATATAGTTTTGTTATAATAAAAAAACTTTAGAATAATTAAGTACTGCTCAACAATGAGGTTACAGTATATTACACCATATACAGTTTCAAAAGATTTATAATTAGACTACTGGCTCAAAAAGACATTTAAAAATATAAAATCACTTTTTAAAAGTCTAAGACTCCTTATAATAAAGTATAATACTATTTTTACTTTGCCTGCTGATTAGGATATCAGTGTATCACTGAATTATGTTAATAGTTTAAAGATCTAAGTGTGGATTCGGTATCTGGAAACGTGAATGACTATATTATTCATTAAAATAACAGCAGCACTTACTAAATGTTATCCACGTATAATGCACCCTCTTAGGAGGTAGTTCTAAATCACTACTCCCATCAGCACAATTTTACTTTCAGACTTTTTGTTATGTGTACTCAACACTCTTAATACTTGAAAGCCATTATGCAGTTTACTTGTAGCCAAAAACATGTATAACTGTCACAGGTAATGAAACAAACTATTATTCAGACTCATAAGAATGCTCTGTAATTTCTAAATAATAGCTACATCCTGATGAAAAACTCAAACCTAATTAGAATAAATTAAATATTCAGCATCAATCAACACTCATAGCTCCAATGACACTTTATGAGTTTTCAAACAGAATACTTACCAGCAGTCTGTGCAGGATTTATTCCTATTCCATCTACAAAATAAGTTGTAAAATCATGCAAGTTATTTCTAAAGCTAAAATAGTAACAAGAAGAGATTTGCCAAAACAACATTGCTTGTGTGTACAGGCATAAATTGAACAATTTAAACTCCAGAACCTAAGTGACAATCTTTCAAGTAAAAGTTACCTGTCTGTTGAAATCTATTGCTATAAATATTTATACATCTTGTGGGATTAGACAAGAATATCTGTCAACACAGTGATCGAAGTAATTTCTAGGGAGATAGTTTTGTCACATACAATAAAAAATAAAGTTTGTCATTTCTTCCAAAAGGCTAAAAGCACTCCAGGTATGTCATTAATCATCTCTTTACTCCTCTGAGGCATAAAATCTTAAGAATAGAGAGAGCACAAATCATTCCTTTAAAATTCCACTGACACTTTGAAAGTTTTAAAACGTTTTTCTGCGAGTTACTCATTGGTGAGCCTAAAGCTTTCCTTTAGGCCAGCCTTCTTGTAAACAGAAACACTTCAGTGTGAAAACATGCAGAATATTTTAAAGAGAGAAATTCTGTCATACCTAAGATGAATCATGGTACCGCACTTTAAATCCACCTCCTATGTCTATCTTAACAGCACATGGACCACTACAGCATGCATTTAATATAAATATCCAAATATAATATAATTCCTATATTTGGAAGAGTTAACTCCTTCCTGCAAGCTTTACCCTTCATCTTATCATTTCACTATTTTCCCATAAGACTAATTTCATCATACTTAACTATTATCAGCACTCCAAAATATTCAGATTTTAACTGAACACCTAACTGAATTAAATATTGCAAGCCTATAAGAATGTTTTCTACAGAAAAATAACATGGTATAGTCAAGATAAACTCCTGTTTAACTTACTGTTCTCTAAAGCATTTTCTCATACAGTACAACTTTATATAAATAATGACACCACCAAACATCTTAGCAAATAAAAAAAGAAAGCTACTTAGCTATTCCCAGTAATAAACTGGGATGCAGTGATAAAGATACCAGAAATTATAAAGTGCTATCTATACCGAAGTACAAAGAAACTGAATAGAGCTAAGTAAAGGCAACGACTCTGACTTGAGTTTTACCATTAAGTACATCATATATGTTAACATATATTTGGGGCTTTTTAGATTGAGCCAGTTTTAATTAGATTCTTCTTCAACAATGTCCATAGCTCAAAGGTAATAGTTTTAAAGAAATTCTTACCATTGGTAATAATTGCACTTGTTGCTGCAGGAACTTTAAACTAAAAGGCAGAAAAGAAAGATATCTCTATAAATATTTAACTATAAAAGATGAATAACAAGGATGCGGTACCTATGACCAATTCTGTAATTCTAGTGTGACTTATCTTTTAGAGTGACAAGATTGAAGTACTACAATTTGCTTTGTCTTTAAACAACCTTATATCCTAAAAAATGTGTCTGATTGTATTAAGATACCAAAGATTGTAAAATACCTTTTATTTTATGGACTGAACAAATGGAAAAACATCAATCTATGGCCAAATCAATGTTTAAACTTTCAAATGCAGACATGTCATTTTTTTTTTTTTTTTGGTACTGGGAGGACCTTGCACTTTTGAGCGAGGTGGCAGCACTACTGAGCTAAATCCCCGGCCCTAGACATGTCATTTTTTTCATATGTAGTTCTCTTATACAAACAAAACATAAGCAGAATAAATTGATGAGAATATTTCTAAAATTTCTTGGTAGAAACTGTAAGTTCCTAATAGATGCTCTTAAGGGCCGGGGATTTAGCTCAGTGGTTCTGGCGCCTGCCTCCTAACAGATGCTCTTGTGTTTAATGGGAGAGACTTCCAGGAGGTTTTCAGATAACAGCCAAGGCTTGTACCCTTTCTTGAAATTCTCATGATTTGCTAACTTAACATCCCAAGGGACTGAAATATTCCAATTACATCAGTAGGATATAACAACTAAGTTCAGTTAGGTGCATTTCCACTAAATAATTATGTGACAGCCATAGCCAAGTCACAGGAAAACATCCCTGACCTATTTCAGAAATGTCATCGAAGAAATTCAATAAAATGAGGTAAGGTATGGATTCGTAGATAAGGTAGAGTCCATCACTTAATACTGTAAGAACCTGCAGTTGACAAAATGTTTCAAGTCTTGCTAATTTATTCATTTCTCCCACCAGCAGTACTTATTAAACATGTCTGCACTACGGACTAATTTAATAAATATTACAGTTGAGTTTTGTAATCAAATACATTTCAAAAACATTATATTAGCCTAGTCACCTTCTCAAAAGCCTTTAATATATTGCCAATACAGTTTATTTATCTTTGAGAAGAAAATGGTAAATGAAGTACTTCCTAGCTACTAATCCATTTTTCAAGGATTTTTTTTTTTTAAAGTTGTACTAGGTTTCCGTGTGTGGCTCTGCTCTAGGCATGTATAAAGACAATATAACTCTAGGCATTAATAAAGGGTCACTTTATGCACAATTGATTAAAAACAATTAAAAGCTTACTTTCAAATTAATTAGAGTATCACAGACCTTCAAAACTAAGAATCCTACAAGTTTTAGTTACCTTACTGAGACTTACTCTAAAGATTATGCCCATATTAAGATAAGCTGTGCATTTTCTTAGTCACAGTCATAAGTGAGCACATACTTAATGTATTTTAAAAGCCAAAAGCAATTGCTGATATAGTTTGTTCCTTCTCTAAAGAGTACAGAAGAAACAGTTAAGCTGAAATCTGAGGAAGCATAGCTCATGACAGAAAACACAATCACTAACCTTTTTGTCCTTCATTATTGATAAGTTTTCTCCTGGATGCATTTTATTTTATGCTCCTCAATTTTCATTTGTTTTCCTACTCGGATTATTTCACAATTCTTATAATGTGAGATGATCAGGAGGTTCTTTTCAAGTTATCACAACTTATGACTTTTTGAATTAATTGCCAGTTGTGTACTGGGGAATTTTATTGTTTAATAAGAGAATTTTATCAAGGATTTAAATCTTGACACATGGTGAATCAAGGAAACTTTTGTTTTCACTGAAAGATGCCACAATATCATTTCCTGAGAGTCCTTCTCAAACTTTATTTGTATATATGGTTGTGTGATATTTGTTACTTTTCTACTGCACATTCCTTTACAATTGTTTCTACATTCACAAAACAACTAAGGTCACAGCAATGCATTTATACTAAAGTGGACACTATAAAATAACTAAAAACATAAAACGATGATTATTACAAACAGCTTATTCAGATATAATTCTTAAATCTGGCATCTGTTATGTCCCTGGAATATTTCTTGCAAGTCATCTGTGCAGCAAAAAAGTACCCAGATCTGTGTCTCTCATTTTACTTACTCTCTCGTCATGAAGAATAGATCAAAATCGACTTAAAACAAATACCACCACTTTTGCGTTTAATTCTGAGTAAATAAAAACTGATGCTAGTGGTCTTTGAGATAGTTCACCAGAAGCTGTGAGCACTTAGATGGGTTGGCTGACATCCAGTTAATCATTTAAACACAGGGCAGAGCTATGAATTAAGCTGGTTTCTTATTTAGTTATTACAATAATTTTTCTGTGACTATAAATTTTTCTGAGGATTCTGTACCCAAGTATTTAGATTTGGGTTAATCTGATCACATCTAGCACTTTTCACTTCACCACAAAATTTTAGTGAGTATTATATTTTTACACAAAATCACTTAGATAGGAAGTACAGGCAATAACTACTATCATTTCAAAGATTAACAAAGTGAGGGTTCAGAGGTTGTAGCTCAGTGGTACACAATTTGCCTCGTATTCCCAAGGACTTATCTTTGATTCCCAGGACTGCAAAACAAAACAAAAAACACAAAACAAAAAGAAACAAAGAATGTGAAGAAACTGCCCCACGTCATACAGCTAAAACTAAAACACAAATCTGAAGTCTCCAAAGTCATATTTTAATGACATTTTTACCAGATAAAGCTACTCTTCCAAGTGTCATGTCCGAAGAGCTGCTTATAGACATTTCTGATAATTTTGGAAGGAGAATTATTATTTCTTAAAAACAAAATTCTAACATTTTTAAAAACTAGACTTTTTTCAAAAGAAATTTTACTGAGTTCCACATGATCCTTCAGAGAATGTAAAAAAAAGACAGATTTCTAAAAAATTATACTGTTACTATTAAAACTAGAAAAAATTAGTTTATAGAATATAAGATGATATAAGGTTTTTAAAGAAATTTACCTATCATTGGTACCTTTAAGTTCAATGAAAGATCTTATAATTTTAAATGGTTACATGAAACTTATCCATTTGTTTAAGTCATCCTTTTCGTATCTAAAAAATGAAGCTTTAATTTGTGACTTTTTAATAGTATAAACCCCTAAAACCAGAGGGAAATAATGGGTGACAGTATATGCAAATTTTTTAAAAGTTTAAAACATACTGCCAAATTGAATTGCATAAGGGTTATTCCAATTTTCACTTACTTCTTCAGCTGCAAACTTTAAGACTGCTGTGAAAGGTGTACTTTCAGGAACACTGAGTCTGTAGGAATAAAAAAAAAAGAAATTTTGGAATGTAAGTTTTTTAAAGCCTGTGTCCCTTCCTCCTTCCATTGTAACATATCTGAAGAAAGTTGCTTTTCGAGTTTCAAAATTGGCTGTTTTGATTGTAATGTATTAACCCTAAAAACAAAAATCTTAAATTTTTTTTTTTTTTGGTACCGGGGATCGAACTTGGGACCTTGCGCTTGCGAGGTAGGTGGCGGAACCACTGAGCTAAATCCCCAGCCCTAAAAATCTTAAAATATTAAAAAGCAAATAGCCTTAGAATAGGTGTCCAATGTAGCACCTAAAAACTAACAAATCCATATTGTTATGTTTTACCATTTTGATACAAGTAAGTCTAGGCTCCTGTTTATTTCTGGATATGGTTTCAACAAGTTGAATCTCTCCTTGATCCTCCCTGCTTCTTGTCTAAATTTCTTTATACCCAATGCAGTAATGTGATCATTTTCATTATAGGTAGACCTGGGAAGCATCATGACATAATAAAGCTTTCCGATAATCTCAGTATGTATAGGCTTAATAAACATGTCTAAAATAGTAGACCAAATTGATGAAAATATGGTAACAATGAAGTGAGTTTTTACCATCATCTGAAAAAGAGCTTAATAGTATCTGATATAACATTTTAGAAAGAGATGTGTGATTTTGTTAATTGATTGTTAATATCAAGCATATTGATAAACAGACTTTTAAAAAACGATTTTGTCCCAAAGATAAATCTGCAGGAATTCCCAGTTTAAAAAATAAATTGACATTACAATTAAAAACACAACAAAAGGTTTTTTAAAAAGTAAAAAGGTAAGATTCCTAAGGTAAAGTAAATTATAGTGATTAAAAACAGAAAATATATAATCAAGTAGGGAAAAGAGGCAAGGTAACATTTCTCTTTGAAACTCTCTGTCATCATCGCATCAATCTTTAATGTCTCAATATTAAAGTTAACATTAACTACCATTATGTAACACTCGGGTATATGCCCACATTCCTCATTTAGTCTACAAATCTCTGAATATAATATAATCATTATATCAACAACAGCATACTATACTGTATTTTACAAAGAATAGATTTCTTGGCTGTCACCATTTCACTCCTCCAAATTATTGCTAAAGGATGAAACTTACCATACTTTTCCTGTTTTTATTTTGGTGGAGACAGAAAATGAAAGCATAATTCTAAAGGACAGTCATTTATTTTAAAAATCCAGCAGCTTACAAAGTACACAATAGTTTTTGAATTTCTGCAGTACCTCTACCGTTTATACATACACACACACACACACACACACACACACACTTAAACCTACACTAAATAACAATAATGGCTACTAAATTTAATCACCGGTACAATTTTGGAGTCATACTACAGATGTTAATATTGTCCTACTCTGTCCTCTTTCTCCCTCTCCCCTTTATTTTCCCCATCTAGAACACATGTATACACTGATGAAAATAAATACATAAGGTGAAACCAATGACAGGGAGAAAGAGGTCCCTTAACTTCATTTACTTTATTTTTTGTTTTGTTTTGTTTTTTGAGATAAGGTCTTGCCGTACAGTTTAGACTGGCCTAGAACACAGTGATCCTCTTGGCTCAGCCTGCTGAGTGTTGGGACTACAAGCATATGCCACTTCCCTCAGCTAACTTCATCTACTTTAATTCTGAGAAGACTAAAATAGATAAGATCTAAAACCCAAGTGGACCAACCAGCTTGTCACAGGAACTCTATAAATGAATACTCTTTAAATGAACAGAATTCATAAATGAATCTTTATAAATGAATAAGCGACTGAAATCATGGGTTTATATAAGTCGTGGAAATTTATATATGTGGGGATGGAAAGATGAAAGACTCCCCCTCTGATGGCTTGAGTAAGAAGAGAAAGAGCTATGGAAAATCTGAAATATTTCTGAGAATGAGGAGAAAAATGAACAAAATTGGGGGATGTAGAATGCTAGTCAAGAATTTTACGTAAAACTTAACAGCTTAATTGTGTAACTTTTCCAGAAATATTTAGTTATATATAGAACACAAATGGTTGGGTTCAGAGTTGCTGTTTCATCAAGCAAAATGCACTAGGAAGAGAGGGGGCATCAGAATTGAGGATATTTCCAAGAAAATGATTTAGATGTACCATGGACTCTAAGCTGAATAAGTAAGAAATGAGTCAGGTATAGCACTGGGGAGGGGAGTGATAGATTAAAAAAGAACAGTGTGACCAATGAATTAAAGGAAGTATTATAAAATTGATAATGAGTAATGAGTTGAAAAGAGACAACACAGTTATCTTTAAGAAAAGGCCTGAAAACAACGTTTAAGAGATGGAGCAATTATTGGAGTCCCTAAACTTCTAGGCCATGACAATGAATACTTCAGATAAGGTGTGAAAATAATATTTTGGAGACAGAAAAGACAAGGGAACAAAAGGCCTGCAGGCTGCATGGATGATGGACTGGAAGTCACTGAAAGGGATGACAGCTGTTATCAGCTCAATTAAGCCATGGTAGTAATTATTCTGATTATAATATTTTTTTCCTTTTTTTACTTTTATTAGTACATGTTTGCCATACATAACGATTACATTCCTTGTGGAGAGCTGGTACATGTACATAACTCATCTTAATTTTTTCTTCCCCTTTCCTATTAACCCCTCCCTCCTTCTCTTGGTACCTCTCCTTTTTGCAAAAGATCTCCCTATTTTCTACTACCTATCTTTTATTTTGCTCTTGATTTATATTTTGAGTTTCTCATATAAGAGAAACCATGTGATTTTTAAGCTTATGTGTCTGATTTATTTCACAACATTACGGTCTCAAGGTGGATCCATTTTTCAAATGGATCAAAAGACTCAATGGAACAAATGACTCAACTCTATCCCTCTTTACTCCACTGTGTACAAATACCACATTTTCTTTGTCTATTCATTTGTTGATGGACATAGGGGCCATTTTCAAGATGTTGCTATTATGAACTTGTGCTGCTGTAAACATAGGTATGCATGTATCATTGTACATATGATGTCTTTAAATTTTTTGGAAGGATACCTAGAAGGGGAATAGCTGGGTCAAATGGAATTTCTATCTTTTGTTTTTTGAGTCTCCATAAAGCTTTACTCTAGTCCTGTTCTTTGCCACATATGAGACTTTTAGTTGAAATAACATCAACAGTGTCAAAGTAGAATCATTGGAAGTTCCAGATGGGCATGTGTTTGGACCAGTGATAATCCATCTAACTGTTAAGAGTAAGGAAAGGCCTCACATAGATAAAAGGCCTGATTCACATTGCCCATTCTAGGGCTGGGGATTTAGCTCAACGGTTCCGCCGCCTGCCTCAAAAGTGCAACGTCCTGAGTTCGATCCCAGGTACAAAAAAACCCAAAAAAGCACACTGCCCATTCTATGAACACCACGTATTAAGTCCTAACACAGAAAATGTGTAATTCGAGCCTCATTACTTTGCGATGCCTATTGTTCGGTGGCATACAAAATAAAATGCCTGACAGTAAAAAGCAATCAAGTAATTTTGGAATATGCAATTATTCCTTTATTCCTTTATTCCAATTATTCCTTTAACAGCTGGCAAACAGTTGAAAGGCTTTCCAATCATCAGATGACAAGAACTGCTTAAGAAGAGCAGCAAACTACTGAAGCCCCTGTCCAAAAGGGTCCTCCCCCCACTTCACTTGTCCACCAAATGAATACCTGGGGAGGCCAGCGGTCAGCAGAAACTCTGCAGTCATCGTTCCCGGGACCCTCGTGACAGGGCCCAGGTGACATCCACGAGAGCACAAAGGGAAACTCTCGTTTCAGGCTCCTGTGGGGAAAGCTCCTTACAGACGGGTAAAGGGAGGGAAGGAAAGCAGGCTGCGTGAAATGGGAGTGCCTGAAAAGCTCCGAACACCTCCAGCCCAGGCCGGCCCCGGACAGGCAAGACAATACTCACACTTTGTAAGGCAGCCGCGGGTCCGACGTCAGCGTGATCTTAAAGGAAACCTTCGACCTAAGGAACACAAGGGGAGAAACTTAGGACTGGGTAGCAAACCAAGGTGTGGGGCGGGCGGCCGACAAGTAAATAACTTACATGGTGGACCCGGCCTGGACAGACACGCCAACCTAGCTCGGCCTACCCGAACACTTCCTGAGCAATGAGGAAGCGCTCGGCCCCGCCCCACTCAGGTCCACGTGTCCCTCGGCAAGCCGGGGTCCTCCAAAACTGCTGCTATCCAAAGCACTGCCTGAAAATCGTGCGCAGATGCTCATTATAGGCACAGCCTTAATCTTACAACAACCTACTACTTATGTATTTTTGTTTCTGAAACAGAAGCACTGGTGATACGGAAAGGATGTTTTTCTAACTTCAGTTATTTGCGCTCATATTTGTAGTAAGGCAGCACAAGTGTAGGCATAGATATTAGGACCCTCGGTCCCACTGGCAGGTTAGGGCGGAAGTAAGGGTATTGGATAGGAGAAAGTAACGGGAAGGACTGAGGATGGGCCGGGGCGGAGTTGTGGGCAAGAGTGGTAGGCTGGGCGTAGTTGGACGCTCTCTGCCGTAGCTAAGGCAACCGGCGCGCTGGACCGCTGCACAGATCCTCAAGAACTCTTTCTCTGTTTATCAACATTGTTCTTCTTTCTTTCCAGTAACCCAATCCTGTTATACCTTTTATATTACTAATATTTTCCCATTATTACTTTATTCTTAAATAGTGACTTATGACTAATTTTCACAAGAAAGAGTTACCAAGAATTAATATGGTTTTGAAAGACTTGTGCTCAGGTACTTGAAAAATACAAGATCCCAGGATTTGAGAGACATAAAGTCTAGTTGGGAAGATTGAATAGTATATTTAAATAGTTCATGATGTGATCTAATAGGATTAAAACCAGGGTGCTAATTTGCTAATCACTGGCCACATTTATTCAGTTTAAAAACAAACTTTGAACTCATTCTGTGTCCAGACACTAAGCTAACGGTTGAATAATACAGGTAGGTGTCAGCTCTATAGTATCTGACAGTTTGTAGTATCTATATAATGAGGGAGGAAGGCTGTCCTGTAATCTTTATTATGAATCTAAAGATCTCTGTTCATAAAGCAAATGTCTCTTTCACAATGGCTTAGTACCCTTTTAAAGAAATTCTGTAATGAATAGATAAAAGAGGAAGCAGGTAGACACTAACATTATTGAAAGGTCTAGATAGTCTTTAGAAAATGCGTTACATTCTTAAGGAAAGACTCTAAAGAGACTAATAGGAAGGGAAATATAGTGCAGGTGCTGAAGACCAATTTCATTTTTGGTATTATTTTGTAGCCTACTTATCTATAGTGAGATCTCTCAAAGTAATACTGGTTCTAACTGTGGCAAAGTAAGACTCCAATATTTTCAAGACATTTGCCTTCATTTGCAAAATTATAGATCTTGCCAAATATAGATAGACCTAGATATTGACTCATAGATTGAGAATCAACAGTCCTATCTTTAATTGGTAAAACTGTAGAATTAGTGGACATGACTAAGATGTGTGATGGTGTCTACCCAGTGTTAGCTAGTCAAATAACAATAAAGAAATTAGTATATGTACACATAGTATCTCTAAGACTATATATAGTGTGTGTAAATATATATTTAAATAAATTTGTATCCATTTATTTACAGTTTGCTTTTTGCTCATGTGTAAAACGTAACAAAATGCTAAAGAGAAAAACACACTGTGATCAGATAATGTCTATTGTATGTATACAAAGTAGTGAAAACAGTATTCAACTCCATGCAGTGTAACCTCAATACTTAGATTTGGATGCCGTTTCAGAAAATACTTTCATATAACATATCAATATTACAAGAGAAAGGATTGTATTCTCAAAAGATATGAAAATGTACCTATTCTAAATGTTTAGAATTTTTTCCTATCTCAGGTTTCCAATTGTGTCCACATATGTTTGTCTTGTGGAAGTCATAACATAATTTCTATATCCTTCTGATTTTTTTCCCTTATAGCAGAAGGAAAAATTATAAATGGATTCAATATTTTAGTTTATTGATTTTTTTTTTTTTTTTTTTTTTGGTACCGGGGATTGAACTCAGGACCTTGCGCTTACAAGGCAGGCACAGTGCCACTAAACTAAATCCCCGGCCCCATATTTTAGTTTTTTAAAGCGTTTCTAAGGCATTTGCAATTGGCAACTTTTATAACAAAAGAGAGACCTTCTAATTTGCTTAAAAGTTAAAAATGCTGAAGTACATTTAATGAGTATAAACAAGCCAACTCTGGAGCAAATTTAAGAGATAATTGGTAAATGTAACATTTTAAGACAACAAACAGCATAAGTGGTCTAATGTGTTTTGGAAGAGATCCCAATTACTATCATGTAGAGGCAGAAATGACTGTAGAAGTAAATAATGTGACTATATTAGATCTCATTAAATGTCAGTGGAATATGCCAATATTCTTTTGCAAAAATATGTAAATTTCTCATTATTAGAATGGAATAAGGAAATTAAATTCATATGAATTGGTTATCTCTATATATAGCCTTAAGTAAAATAAAAATATGCCAAATTTGTTTGCTAAAAACAAAAAGATTTATCTTCTTTTTCATCTTATTCTCATATATTTGTGTTTAGGACTAAAACCACCTGATAGTCTAATTATGTAATTTTTAAAAGTTTATACTGGGATAAATCTTGGATGTTCTGTTTCAAATACTTTATATTACATTACACAAACTATAGCCTGATCAGTGAGTGATAAATATATATTTTATAAGACCTTAACTTGATCTTTCAATTCAAATATCTTTTCTCTCCTCATAATCCATTAAAAGTCATTGATATTATTGTGGCAATGATAATAGAAAATCCCTCAAAATTAATCAGCATTTCACATATCAAATGTTCTTAATCATTTGTAGAAAGTAATAGTCAATCTTGCCAAATAATAGAATAAATAGAATAGTGATTACTAGAGACTGAAGAAGGTAGATGGACGGGACAGAAAGAAGTTTATTAAGGTGTAGAATTAGAGTGAAGGAATTACTTTTTTTTTTGGCATACTAGGGTAACTATTGCTTAAAACAATCTAGTATATATTTCAAAATCAGTGTATAAGAGTACGAAATTCCCAACACATAAAAAATAAATGGTTGAAGAGATGGAAGTGCTTATTACCCTGATTTTGTTATTGCACATTCTATATATGTGTTGAATTACCATATGTACCCCATAGAGGTGTACAGATATTATATATTAATGAGAATTTTATAATAAACTATCAAGATTTATTTTGCTGGTTATAATATTAAGCATTTTTTATAAGTGAAATCACAAAATGTTGACTTTAAATTTGATTAGTGAGAAGTTATAATTCAGTGACAAGAATCTTTGCAAAGAAGAGAGTTGATATGCTAGACATTATAAATACCTGGGAATGTGTAAATGTTGTGTTGATCCTCAAGCTAAGGACTAGATGCTAGGGAATGTTATATCTGTGTACTCCAAAAAGAATCAAAATACAGACATCTGAGCCCAGAAAGGTGAGTTAAACCTCTTTTACAGGGTTACATTAAATGTCCTGCAGGAACTTACTATGTTTACATACCTATTCCAAACATTTCCTAAAATTTAATGAGAGAGGGGGGAATAAAGACTTACCCAGGAAAGTCATTATTTGCAGATGTGAGGCTTAATAACAAAACTTACAATGTTTTAACCACAACATTTGTTTAATCAGCAAAAGGCATTTTAAGTTGCAAGAAGCAGAAATTTAACAATGATATACTTAAAGGTTTTCTCTAAATATTGCAAGAATTCTGTGTTTAATGGGACCATTACTTGTTACAAAAATAGATCTGGCAGGTCTATTCCAAACATGTATTTTCTTCTTTCACACAAGTACTTACTGATTTTTATCCTTCCAGCAGCATTATGAGGTCAATACTATCATGATTACATTTTTAGGTAATAAAAGCAACACCTAGATATTAAGTATCCTAAACTTAAGAAAGTGGAACCAGACTGAATTCAATTAAAGATTAAAGCCTGGGCTTTAATCACTATGAGAGGTTAAGGAACCAAGTTATATTCTTATGTAGTGATGAACAGTTTTTTGAGGTAGGAAAAATTATTACTCCTATTTCATGGATAGGGAAGCTAATACATAGTGAGACTAAGTCATTTTTTAAAGTTCCCTAACTAGTAAAGTGCTAGAGCTGGGAAATTGGTAGGTTGAATTTTGAGCCTGTAAGTCTTCAATATAATAGGACGTAAATCTATCAGTCAATTTGCTTATGCTACTCTCAAGCAATAGATATTCTGTTTCTTCCACTTCAGATTTAGTCAGTCTGAATTTTGTAGACTGTGCCAGATATAATAACATTATTATTTTGATATAATTAGAGAAACACTTCATGTTTTTTTGAAAGGGAATTCAGAGATAATGTATATTCTCAGTAAAGACAGTACCACTTCAGCTGGTGTTTTAAAAATTTCTCAGGGGATTGTTGGCTGCTAGAATGATTGGGTATAAAAATGACACATAGAACCTAGTTCAAAAGTTTGAACAACCAGAACTCTTTCACACTGGTGGATGAAGAATAAACTGGTACAACTATTTTAGAAAATGGTTTTGCAGTATCTACTAAACTGAACAAGCACATTAACCTATGCCCCCACATTTATACTTTGTGGTATACATCTTATAAAAGTATATACTCACACAAAGACATGTATAAAAATATTTGGAACAATATTCTCTTCTTGTAAATTCCAAACTGTAACTTACCCAAATGTGCATAAACAGAAGAATAGACAAATTGTAAGACATTCATATTATGAAAAGCTATTCAGCAAAGAATATTAAGACATCATTGCTGCAATAAAAAATAGGGATAAATTTCTTAAATAAAATATTTAGCAATAGAAGCTGATACAGGTGAGTACAAGTTGGAGGAATCCATTTATATCAGGGTTAACACCAACAAAATTATTGACCTATGGTGTTACACAAAAATTAAATTTACTTTTATATGGCCATAGTGACTGGGATGGGAAAAAGAGGAGAGTCATGTTACCAATAATACAATTCTTCTTGAAGAAGGTGCTGATTATACTAGTGAGTTTACTTTGTGAAAGTTTATTAAGCTATGGTTTCATAATATGTGTACTTTTATTCATTTTTGTTACATTTCTTTTTTTCCCATTAAG